ATGAAATTCAAATATGGGCAATCAAGACGATGGGCATATACACTGGAGATGTTTGTTGAGCACCTTCTTGAAGAATTCTCAGGCTTTTATCAATTCTTTTTGCCTCCCTATTAACCATGAGTGCAGAAAAAATTCTGTAATAGGAATTAGGCAGATAATGACCTAAAATTTTATATAGAAAAAAAAATAGAGGCTCAGAGAGGTGAAGTGACCCCTCACATAGATTGATCTCGGAGTAAACAGTACCTAAGATACTGAAACTGATTAATGAATGATAAGGAGACCCCACTGTTTCCTTCTTATTGATGATTTGAATAATGAGGAAGCAAGAATTCTCCTGGTCTAATTCGCATTAAGAGAGCTAAGATAATGAAGCTGTGATTAAATGGCTATTAAACTATTTTTATCAAACAGAGATCAAGCGAGTGTGAGAATCTGGGGATGCAGAGTGTAATTGCAATTCTACAAGATGTGGAAAAAATTACTATCATAAGCAGGGCATGGTCCTTCCATAATAGCCTGCATTTAAAAATCTTTGGGATACCACATGCAGTTTTCGCTTCGCAGTTCTCCCTTCAGGTGTCAGTGAGCATCTCAGAGTCCCTCATTTCCTCCTTCATTTAGTAGATTTAGTCACTCTCTCCGCACCTGGGCAAGCTGAATGCATGTCTGCCCCACCATGTGTAATCAGTTGGAAGATCCTTTTGCCAACTGCTCACAAGGGAAGCAGGCCCAGATATGACGTACTGGATCCCAAACTGCAGTCTCGAGGTGACTTTGAGCACTTGGAGGAGCAGGATCGACCTTCCTTTAACTGTACCCTTTGAATGAGTTCACACTTAGTGCGGGTCAAATAGGGACCCAGCAGTCCCAACCAGCGATCGTAATGAAACTTCTGGTTTGATGGGGTGTGTTGAACTGTCATTTGTTGGTGACGAACGCTTCGGAATTGTTGAACATTCTAAATGTTGGGTTGTTAGTATACATGTACGCCTGTCATCTGTCACTGGAAATTTTGTTGATGAGGCGTCTTTACTCCTGGAGCTCCCTTAGAGAGTGAGTGTCACAGTCACACAGACCTTTGTTCAGGCCGGAAGAATAGCACCAGGCTTGCGTAAGGAGAGCCCGAGGTTGACACCCACCAGGGGAAGAGCTGCCTGATAGGTACAGAGCTCCCCTGCGGAGATGCCCATCGGCCTGGGCTCTTTCCTTCCTTTCTCCACCTCTCTGCTACCACCTGCAAGACTGAGCTCAGCTGTGTAGTTGTCGATCGCTACCGAACTGGTGACCCCCTCTCTGGTTTTCGCCTCTCTGCTTTTCTTCTCTTAACTTATATGGAGCTCATAAGTGTATTTTTGTAGGAATGGTAATTTCAAACGATTAGAAAGCAGTATCAGAGCAGAGTCTTTGAAGGGATATCTTGTAAAGTCACTTTACAGCCTGATGTATTTCCATGCCCCGTCACCTGTGAACAGGCATGTGTTAGGAGGCCAGTGTGCTTCATCTGCAATGACTTTGATTTATTTGCTCTGTAAATTGGGACCGAAGCGATAATGGGAAGTGACATTAATTGTTTACCAGAATCCTTTTTGTCACATCCATTGCCTTCTCTGGAGTGTGTGACTGTTGAAACTCATGCTAAACTAATTGATATTGCCACAGTGAGGAGCAATGTCCACTCACCTTTATATACAGGAGTATGTGTTGAGCTTCAAAACGAAAATGTCATCAATAAATATTTTAATTTCCCCCCCGGTCTTCTATGATTAGACAAAACATGGAGAATTTGAAATAATAACATTTTCTTCTTCCATAATTCAAGAACAACTTGATTAAATGGTCTCTGAGCACCTGTCTGAGTCACCCACATTCAGGGATGGTAATAAAGAGGTTTAATAATCATTTCTGATGAACACGGATTAAATAACGATTACAGTCCATACTGGTTGACTACCAGCCTGCCCTAGCTACCTACCCCAACACACACACACACACACACACACACACACACACACACACTGCCAATCTTCCGTCCCACAACCCTCCCTCCCATTGTGGTTCCAGTAGAGAGAATTTAAATGGCTGTGGTTTAATCAGATCTTGTAAATTAATTATGACATTATCAGGCTCCACTATTTCTGCCATTGTTTTTGATGTACATTCACCCGGGCTTTATTAAAGAAATTGGAGAAAACTAGTTAATTTAAGTGTTCTTTGTCATTCTGACTTGATTGGAATTATTGTAGTTTGTTTACACGAGGGATGGAACTAAGGCGCTATTGTATTATGTGATTGAAAGCAAATAGAGGCTTGTAGTGTTGCTGGAAAGCCAAACACAAAATTTAAATCGGGGTAAACAAAATTACTCATTTATTGGTAAACATTCTTAACTGTTTTTCTTGAGCTATTTTTGAACGCCATTGAAATAAGCCTTTCTGAAAATTGGGATACCTGGAAAAGAAGCCCAGTTCACTGAGTTGTGTGTGTGTGTGTGCTTGAGATATCTTCAAAGATTGTTTTTTTATTAGATAATATGCATACATTTACATTAATGTAAGTCTCGTGATTTTAGATGATTTAAAATAATATATATTTCATTTAAATATGACTTCTATTTAGGACAGATTAATAACCCGAATTTGGTTTTCTGTATGTGGGGGAATCTAAATTAAAAGAGGAGAGATTGGAATCTTTGGACACTAGGTTATGACCCTGGACAGAAAATAAGTGACAATCATTTCAGTATCTTTATTATTCAGATTACATGGACAGATCCAGAAGAATGGAGGCTGGGGGATATGCTCACTAATGTTTTGTTATTAAATCAAGCAATTTGTTTTTGAAGAATTGGTCAGTTTTGGAAGAAGTGGTGCCATTTTGGAGTTAACATTTTACCCCTCTGATTAGGATTTACCTCCTGCATTGGAGTCTTCAAACTCAGAGACTTGTCATTCTACCCCGTGTGCCCAAAACCACTTGACTCATAGCGTTAAGTCTAGGAGCATTCGAGAGATACATTATGCAAACGTAAGAAATGCTAGTGAAGGGGCGCCTGGGTGGCGGCGTGTCGTGATTCGCGTCGACTTCGTAAGGTCGATCTCACGATCAGGGGTTGAGCCCCTTGCATCCGGCTCTGGGCTGATGGCTCAGAACCTGTTTCCGGTTCTTTTTCCCTCTCTCTCTGCTCCTCCCCGTTTATGCTGCTGTCTCTCTCTGTCCCAAAAATAAATAAACGTTGAAAAAAAAAAATTAAAAAAAAAAAAAAAAAAAAAAAAGAAATGCTAGTGAAATCCACCGTGAGGACAAATGGCTCTTTTTGGGCCCTTGAATCCAAAAGAGAAAGAAGTCTGTGGTTTTATTCCTGGATGGGGGACTCCTCAGTAATGAAGGAAAACAATTTTTATGTGAAAATAGAATGTATACGTGATAAAGGCCTGCCTAATTTCTCTAGTAATACAATTTGATTTTCTGATTAGCTGTCTTATTCTGTGATTCTTGTAATTTTGTCAGGTCAATTAACTGGAGTTGAGTGCTAGAGAGAAAGGACGTGTGGGCACTGCTGGCTTCATTAGATGTCAGTAGCTTAGGTGCCTTTTGTAATAGAATCTGTGTGGGATAATTTAGCCGATATTGTTAATGTCATAGCATACAGAACTTAAAAAAAAAAAGATTTATGAAGCAGGTCAAATTGGACAAACAATGTGAAGTGCTATCAGAAGGGGGAAAAAGTGATCTACACAACATACATTCTAGCTACTAAATGCAGATCAAGGAATTATTCAGCAAGGAAGCAATGACGATACCGTGTGCCAGCACTGGCCCTGGTTGCCCAGGTGCATGGGGTATAACACATTTTCCTCTAAACAAGGTGTGTAAGCCCCAACTTGGGAGATCTTGAAAGTTTTTGTGCAGAGTCCTGAAATAAATATCATCTTTTATAATACGTTATTTACACATTCTTCCCTTGCACTGGAAGGTTTATGAGGGCGAAGGTTGGTCTTTCTCTTTTTATCTCTAACACCAGGCATGGCCCTGGTATTGTAGGTGTGCAGATGTTTATGGAATGAATACCTGAAGCTTAACTCTCCAAGGGTGTGTCGATGGGCATGATTGTGGGAGTTGGAGAAACGAGTTAGGATATGTTTTCAGGAGCCCCCGTTCAGAGTAATGTTGCACTAGACCAGTACCCCAGCCGCAAGAAATGAATGCATTTGAGAGACGTTGCAAAGCAAGACTCTACTTAATGACTGACCAGATAAAGAAGACTCGGGGTAGTTCTAGAGTTTGAGTCTGCAGAACTGTTACCCAAACTCAGGAAGTCAAGGGAAACAGCAGTTTGGTTGTGAAAGGGCCTGAGTTTGGGTTTTGAAGGATGAGGGAGCCATTATCAGGTAGAAATGTCCAGCGGGCAGTGGTAGATTTATGACTAAAGTTGGGAGAGATGTCAGGGAGGGAAATAAATGGCTGTGGAGTGTTCAGTGATGAGATTATAATTGAAACCATGAAAGTGTATAGTTCCTCTTGGTATCGTTTCAGTTTCTGGTGCTGTTCAAACTGAGGGTTATCTAAACATTTTGCCTGTACAGGAGATTGAAACACTGCATCCGCAGATGAAATAGATGATGGTTAAAATGCTCTCAAGTTCTAGAGATTCTCTAGACCTTCTCCTTTGGTTAGGGAAACAAGACATAAACATGGGGAAAGTGCGAGCAAGACGGAGTCATACCCAGTCGTGATAAGCACTGATGCCATAAATTGCTAAATTGGACAGCTCAACAATCAAAGACCGGTACCGAGAGGTATCAGTTAATTGTCGGATTCAGACCCAAAGTGAATTTGGAGTTTGAGGAAGACAGGATCTTTTGTATTCCGGCATGAGCCTTCAAAATTTCACGAATAGTTTCCTCATTTGGATAAACATGATCCGCCTATGCTGATTGATAGCGTTACCTATCGCCCAACGTCAGCTCATCACGACGTCTGTTTTTCCGTTTTTGCAGAAGATAGATGAAGAGAACGAGGCGAACTTGCTAGCAGTCCTCACAGAGACACTGGACAGTCTCCCTGTGGATGAAGACGGATTGCCCTCATTTGATGCGCTGACAGATGGAGATGTGACCACTGAGAATGAGGCTAGTCCTTCCTCCATGCCTGACGGCACCCCTCCGCCTCAGGAGGCAGAAGAGACGTCTCTAGTAAGAACCCTTCCTAGTGTTTAACGGGAATTGGAGTTGCCTCTGGCTACCCGCTGCATGGGTATGACGTAGTACCAATAAGGTTTGGGTTTTTAATTTAGACTGATGCCAAAATAATTTCCGAGCATACTCGGAGCTGCAAATTCTTGTGATTTTGTGTTTAAGAATGTTGGTCGTTAACAGTCTTCACGTAGGCTTACGGAAGTTTGTTTTTAACTGTCTATGGCTGTGGATGTGTGTGTATCGTTATTTCTTAGCATCATTTATGTTCGTGGTAGAAACTTAGAAGATGTAGACGACCTGAAATGAATGCACCAAAAATTCACCTGTGATTTCAAATAATCTCTAATATAAAAAAGGTTGAAATCTCCTCTTGTTTTAAGATCTGTCATCATATTTATGAATTTTAGATATGCATACCTGTTAGTGTTATACATGACTTTACTGTTTGGAGATGCTCTAATTCATTAAGAGATTTCTTATGGTTGGATATTTGGTCTTTGTCCTGTTTTTTCACCATCATAAATTATGTAATAATCGACATATCTGTAGTTTTATTCTTATGCCCGTGATTCTAGAAATAAAAGGTAGAAAAAGGGATATGCAATATTTTAAGGTTTTTAGATCCATAATTCTTATGAAGATTGAAAAATAATAGCACATTTGCAACCTAAGTTCCCTAAATTTATGGTAGGCAATGAAGAGTGAATTTGTTGGCAATGAAGAGTAAATTTTCTTTTCGATGCAGTGCTTGACCAGAATTTTATTAGTTCTAAGACACAGTTTACCTTCTCATCTATGGTAGCCATTTGTCATTTGCCATAAATCTGATGTAAGACCACACTATGTAAATTATGGAACGCTGTTCTCCAAACTTTAATAATGTTCCTTGGCATGCCATTTAGAGGTTGTTTCTCTCCCATCTCTAAGTTTTTTAAATGTGGAAAGCACTCCATGTAAACATATGGAGACTCTATTCGTATGCCTGTGCATTTTGAGTTTTCTGGTTTAGAAGAAACTGTCTCATAAGTAATTGTTTGGCTCCCAGCACACACACACACACACACACACACACACACCCCGTTTCTCCATGTCTCTTGATTTCTTTACATTGATACCAGATGATTTGCATCCGCATAACTGATTCGACTAGGAGGAGTTGTTGATTCAGAGTCATCCTGCCTGTCCAAGCAGGGAGGTCCCAGCAAGCCAGCAAGTCAAATGAAACAGGGGTCAAGAAAGAGTAAATGACAGGGCGACTGGGTGGCTCAGTCGGTTTAAGCATCTGACTCCATTTCAGCTCAGGTCATGGTCTCATGGCTTCGTGAGATCAAGTCCCGTGTTGGGCTCTGTGCTGACAATGCAGAGCCTGCTTGAGATTCTCTCTCTTCCTCTCTCTCTGTCCCTCCCCTGCTGATGTACACGTGTGCACACACAATCTCTCTAACAATGAATAAATAAACTTAAGAAAAAAAGAGAGAGTAAATGCTTTGCGTGAACCAGAATCACATCTCCCGACTCTATCTACTTACAAATCTTTTTCAGTGATAGCCACACTTTCATCACAAATATTTGAATCAGTAAAGATAAAATGGATTGTGAAATATCCTTCAAAGCGTTGCGGAATATTGTATATATTTTCACTTGATGCATTTGGGTTATTGAGGGGACAGAATACATAGATTCTGTCCCCAGTCCCCAGTTCCTCATTTAGCAAGGCAGCATTTCTCATCTAGTAGGTATTTAGAAACCCTTTCAGGAAGATCCTTTTGCCTGATTTTATCTTTAAAAAAAAGTCAAAGTAGACAACACTTAGTCTCAAATGTAGGGAAGGGACATACTTTCACAGTTGGTAGTGTCATGCCAAATTTTTCTTTTTCGAAATATGTTTCCTTTAGCACTATTGTGCCGAGGTGTGAATATAATTAGAGAGTGATGGAATTAATGTTTATAATTAAAATTAATTAATTTTAAGTTTAAAATTTCAATAGCTTATTCGGATGCTTAAAAGATGCATAACTTCTCTTGCTTTTCCCCCTGATATGTTTCTAGCTTAAGAAGCTTTTACTGGCACCAGCCAATACTCAGCTAAGTTATAATGAATGCAGTGGTCTCAGTACCCAGAACCATGCAAACCATAATCACAGGATCAGAACAAACCCTGCAGTCGTTAAGGTACGATGTGAACTTTGTAATATAGGAGGGAAACTAACAAAGGATTTTGCTTGAAGCTGTAAAACAAAGGATAGGTTTATTTCTACGTATTCAGTTGGGATCCCGCAGTTGCTTTCTAACTGTGAAACTATATGAAATGGGTTTCCAAAAGCAGCGCTCCAGCTACTTTAAACTAGAAAGAGTTCATTTATGCTTTGTCTTCGGATGATTGGAATGGAAGTTCCACCGTCTGTTACTCCTCGCCCACTTTATTAATACGTGCGGCAATGTGGGTTACAATAAAATTTGCTGATAGGCTGGTATTATCTAGGAGTGACTTTAAGATGCAGGACTGCCGTTTTGCCAGCTGTCTAACCTGAGAAAGACTGTTCTGGAATCACCGCAAAAGATCTGTCTCTGCCATTAATTGGATAGAATGCTGGCAATGACATAATTCGGTTAGCGGGCTGTATTAAACAATGTTTGTCTTGCCATTCACTGTGAGTGAAAACGGAGCGTTAAGGGGTACTTAAGAGAATTGTGAATACGGGGCTCCAGCAATCAGTGGCAAATTAAGGTTTAAACCAGCTTATTTTTTTTTATTCACAGTAAAGGCGCTATAGGGTCTTGTTAGTTACATGTTGCTGAGTAGGAACATTGAAATGTAGGAGAAATGAAATAAAAAGCTGCCTAAATGTCATTTAGGAATTTTAAATGTAATTTTCTTTCCTTGTTCTGCAAACAATTATTCACAGCTCATAGATCTAGTACACTTAGACTGAACACTTCATTGAAAATCTCATCTCTTCCGAAAACCTATATCCATTCTGATAAGGTTCAGTTCACTAATTTTAGCTTTTTCTTTATGCCTCGTTTTTAAGACCGAGAATTCATGGAGCAATAAAGCGAGGAGCATTTGTCAACAGCAAAAGCCACAAAGACGTCCCTGCTCGGAGCTGCTCAAGTATCTGACCACAAATGATGACCCACCTCATATCAAACCCACAGAGAACAGGAACAGTAGCAGAGACAAATGCACCTCCAAAAAGAAGTCCCACACACAGTCGCAGTCTCAACATTTACAAGGTAGGCTGGGGACCCAAACACAGGCTGCCGGGGAGGAAGCCGAAGGCAAACCCGGCCTGCACCGGGCTGCGATGCCCCCACTTGGGGCTTTTGCTCCGCGGCCATCTCTCTGGAAAGAGGATTCAGCACTTGGGTAGAGATTAAGGAAAAAAAAAAAAATCTTTCCTTGGACACAGGTTGAACATGTCCTCTTTGGCTGATATGCGGCCGAATTCATAATCACCAAAAGGCACCTGAAATGTGAACTGGATGGGGAGGGGGGCGGGCGTGTAAAGGGAATAGCTACCTCGGACAAGGTTTATGTGAAATCTGAATTGCTGAGATAATTGAAATTCTGAGCAAGCGGGGCTAGGCCAATATTAAAAAGGTTTTATTTTTTCCCTCTTCTTTTTTTTAATTTTTTTTTCAACGTTTATTTATTTTTGGGATAGAGAGAGACAGAGCATGATCGGGGGAGGGGCAGAGAGAGAGGGAGACACAGAATCGGAAACAGGCTCCAGGCTCCAAGCCATCAGCCCAGAGCCCTACGCGGGGCTCGAACTCCCGGACCGCGAGATGGTGACCTGGCTGAAGTCGGACGCTTAACCGACTGCGCCACCCAGGCGCCCCTTCCCTCTTCTAATAATGGCAAAAATGAGGCATTGTTGATTTGCTGTACATACCTTAAGAAATAGTACATAATAATGTATGCAGCCTCTCCCGATTATTAAGTGTATTCTTTCCTTTCTTTCTTTCTTTTTTTTTTTTTTTTTAAGACCACATGTTACACTCATAGATTTTATTTTGTAAACAATGATTTGGAAATTCCTGGAATTTATTTTCATTTGCTTTCTATTAAAAACTATGGCCGAGAGCAAACTAAGCATCTGGGGTGATTTTTATTATTCCCATACATTGCTGGAAGGCCGATGCTTCTGAGGCAGATCAGGGTGATTTGGGGAAAACCTGCCTTGGCCGAGATATAATTTTCTTTCTTTTTGGCTCTTCCCTCACAAAAGTCCTGTCTGAGAAGCTTATGAAAGTTGCTGTTGCTTTAAAATATCCCAGCTTCCACATTTGCCCTACCTTTAACCTTATAGTGGAAGCAGACATATTGTAAAATAGCCATTACAAACACCCACTTCTTTTTTTCCCCTTTTGTTTCCTCAACTTCCCCTTCCAGCTGCAGAGTGGTAGTCCCTGATCCCTGTTTTGAACCATGATTATTTCATACAGGTATGCCGTTGCTGCTGCTTTTAATAAGTATTTTCTTTCCAGTGTTTTGAATTTCCCTCTCTCATCCCTATGTCCCCATAAACCTTCTGGAACCTTCTTTCAGAGTTTGAAATTGGCTTTCAATGAGGTTTTCCCTGGTGGTTATCTCAAAATCACTTGGCCAGCCTTTTCTGTCGGTTCAGGGAAAGAGATTTCTTGAAATGGGCCAAGCTGTTTTGCAGCTCACCTTGCCCTGATTGGCCCCTCACACGCATGCGCGGGACCAGTTTCTCTTAGAGCAGAACCCGCGGCGCTTTGGGACGCAGTGGTGTGGAGAGAGCCTCAGGGGAAGGGGGCGCAGCTGGGCTTGCTCTAGTGAGGGGATGAAAAATTCACTGGGCTGCTCTCCCCCTGGTCCTAGTGTGTCCTAGTCATGAGTTCAGCGTTTTTGGAGCTGAATTTGGAGTCCTAAGCCGGCTGAAACCCTGTAGTGCATGAAGCCAGACAAGCAGCACATGTTCTAAACATGTTTTTTTTCTTTTGTTTGTTTGTTTGTTTTTTAGTTTGTTAATTTATTTTGAGAGAAACAGACAGCGCCAGTGCAGGAGGGACAGAGACAGATAGAGGGAGAGGGAGAATCCTAAGCAGGCTCTGCACTGTCAGCACAGAGCCCCCGGTGGGGCTTGAACCACCAACCATGAGCCTGACCTGAGCTGAAACCAAGAGTTCAGTGCTTAACCGACTGAGCCACCCAGGCATCCCTAAACATCTTTTTAATTTTTACATTCTTAAGACTTTATTTGGCCCTTTTGGATTTTGAGAGTTTGGGGGGGTTCTTGGTTTGTTTGTTTTTTAAATCCATTTATCACTAATATTACTGTAACCTCTTAAAAAACCATGACAGTGAGGCGTTAACTTGGCCTGTGGAGGATATATTCCTTAGAGACCTGCTTTGTATGGGTATTTATTTATTTATTTATTAAAAAAAATTTTTTTTTTAAACATTTATTTATTTTTGAAACAGAGAGAGACAAAGCATGAATGGGGGAGGGTCAGAGAGAGAGGGAGACAAAGAATCTGAAACAGGCTCCAGGCTCTGAGCTGTCAGCACAGAGCCCGACGTGGGGCTCGAACTCACAGACCGTGAGATCATGACCTGAGCTGAAGTCGGCCACTTAACCGACTGAGCCACCCAGGTGCCCCTGTATGGGTTTTTAAAAAAGATATTTTGTCTGTGGCAAAGCATAAAAAGTTTATCCCAGAACAAGGCCTGTTAACAAAACACAAAAAACAAAAACGAGTGACCAAAAAACCCCGCAAAATTCCTGAAGTTATCAAAGGCCTAAAACAAAAAATAAAATGGTTGGCTGTGGATAACCAACAGGAAATAAATGCTCAGCTTCAGGACTTACTTAAATTATTATTCAAACCGAAAACAAATATATTCACAATTAGAGACAATAACCAAGGGTCTACGTGGTCCAAAATACCATGATCTGAAGGAAAAAGATGCATTCTTGCCCTTAAGGATCTTAGAGGCCCTGGTCTATCAGTCATTGGAATGGTGTGGATTAAACTCCCAGGAAACCGTATCAATACTCCCCTAGTGGTAGTTTTTGTGACCGTGGTATCATGATCACCTATTCCCAACTATCAGAATGTTAGGAATCTTCCTTTGAGCATTTCAGGTAGCCTACCCTACACCTTGAAAACTGGAATTTCAAAGACCGATTTTCAATGTCTATTTATTGTGTGACCTATAGCACACAGTTCCTATCTGGTGACATTTTCCATGGAACCTGTATGCGTGATCCTAATTATTAGTTGAACACTGAAAAAGTTGGTAAATTTCTTTCACGAGTGTGCTCTTTTGGAAAGGCTCATTATATCAGACATACTAAAACAATTAATGTAAAACCCAGTTCATTTATCTGTATATATAAAAGCCGATCGATCAATGTACCTAATTTGTAGAAGACAGCATGAACTTCATATTTCCGGATGCACACTGGATAGATGATAAACCATTCAATTGTTTAAAAACCAAATCTAAATCGACAAATTAAATATGTAAATACTATTTATCCAAGTAAAGTATGTAATTTCAGCCTAATTTGGACATAAATAATATTTTCACATTTCAAAGGACCTTAATTACTGGGGTGGATTAATTTACTTTAATATCTATCGAATGCAATTCCTTTCGGTAATAGGAAAAAGAAAACATATTCTGGGCTGACTCTGCCAGGAACTAGTTTTATGGCCCTTCGAAATATCATTTCATATCGTTAGACCTCAGGTTTTTCATCTATAAAATAAAAGTTCTAGAGACCTTTTTATTTTCAAGTCTAGGATTTTCATTACGTAAATGACTACCTCTTGACCTTTTGAAAGTAGTTATGTTAATGACAAGAAATTGACATAAACTTACTTACATATAAATATATCTTTATAGATAAGCACATATATGCATAATATGTGGATGTATATCCCAAGTGCGTTTCTCATCATGTTTTCCCCTCCTTCTGTTCAAAATACAAGACTGCCAAGGAGAAGCAATTGAAATTTTGGAGTGAGAATATTCTTACTCCACCCCTCCTAATTAGGAAATGCCACCTGTAGGAGGTAAGATTTAGGAAGCATAAAAGGAAGTAAATGAGCTCTCTCTTTGCAAGTCTGTTGATCTCTCCACTGATAAATGCAGTATTTTACTTCCGTAGTCTGTAAGATTTGGGGATCTAAACCTCTTTTAAACCATTTGGGTCAATGTCCACAATTTGTCATAATCTCTCAATTAATTTTCAGTAAATGGAATGTTTATTGCTTGAGCTTTGGCCTCATAGATATAACCTATTCTCAGGGCTAGATATAAAATTATACATTTTAGGAGAAAAATCAACTGAATATTCATAACGTTCTGTTGTCTGATAGTTATTCTGCTGTTTTCTTGTCTAAACAAACCGTGTACTGTATTCCAAATTAAAATAGAAAACATTATTTCTCTCCGATGGTATGATGCAAAATTTGTATCCTTAACCGAGATGCTACATTTTGGGGAAAATTCTGGTTTTTGTATGTGGTTTTGAATGATAGTTTACTGATGCAAATGTTGTTTGGAATTTGTTTTAGCATAATGGACTGTTGTCTGACTTTGATCCAATATTCAGGGATTTCTGTACTTTAGTTTTCCAGTTTCCAGTTTCCAACCTGATTGTAGTAAAAAAAAAAAAAAATCTAAAAAAACCCCTCAATATTTCATAATTAGTTTCCTTTTCTTTCCTTTAGCCAAACCAACAACTTTATCTCTTCCTCTGACCCCAGAGTCACCAAAGTAAGTATTAAGAAATGTAACCATTTTCAGAAAGGGAAGGGGGTTCTAATACATTTGGCTACAGCAACTCCATTTCAGTTTGTTTTTATAAATGTGCCATATCTTCCAGTGACCCCAAGGGTTCCCCATTTGAGAACAAGACTATTGAACGAACCTTAAGTGTGGAACTCTCTGGAACTGCAGGTAAGCCTTATATATCACTTGGAACCGTGTGTAGTTCTGTGTGTGTGTGTGTATGAAATATGTGTTAAATGATAGCATATATTCTCTATGTGATTAATGAAATTAACAAATAGTACAAACAACATTGGATAAGAAGTTACCTATAAATATTTTCATTTATTCTTCTTTTTTTTAAAGAAGACATTTTTTGTGTGTGTCAGACTGGGGCCAGATCCTCTGATGTGTATTATTGCTTTGGATCCTTGAATAACCCTATTTCAGATTGAGACCCCAAAACTTGAACAGGAGGAATTAAAAAAAAAATTTAATGTTTTATTTATTTTTGAGAAAGAGAGAGAGAGAGTGTGTGTGTGTGAGGGGGGGAGGGGCAGAGAGAGGGATACACAAAATGGGAAGAAGGCTCCAGGCTCTGAGCTCAGTACAGAGCCCGACGCAGGGCTTGAACTCGGAACCGCGAGATCGTGACCTGAGCCGAAGTCCAACGCTTAACCGGCTGAACCACCCAGGCGCCCCAAACATGAGGAATTTTTGACTGGTTTCACAACAACCTCATGAAGATAGTGGTAGTTTTCCCATCTTTAAGATGAGGAAATAAGGTTCAGAAATGTTAAGTAACTTGCCCAAGATCACAGAGCTAGAAAACAGGGAGCAAAGTTCTGAACCCAAGGAGCAAAGTGATTACATCGATGTTTTAATTGAAATATTTTCTCACTCGCCATTGTACTTAACAATATGCTCTCTCCTATATATGTTACCATCTTTATATCTTTTCAGCAAAGGAGAAAAATAAAAATCTGCCCATTCACCAAAACGAAATGTATTCCCATCTCCTCAAACAAGAGTGATTTTCTTTACCATTTGGACTTCTGGACTCATTTAGTGAGTCTTACTTTGTATACTGAAGAGGAAGGAGCCTTAAAAACTTGGAGTAACCCCTAAGTAACTTAATCATCCAGGGACTTCCTAGGAAGACTTCTAAGTTGGTTACAAAAAGTGCCTTTGCACTGAGTGCTTTATGTGGAGGTACTTAAACTACACCAGAAAGTGAATCTTAGGCTTGTCTGAGTAAGAAGTTCCTTGGCTCTGGCCATTGCTGATAAGGGTAAAGGAACAGTAACTTAAACAAGATTCCTTTAACCAGAACTATAGTGCCTATATGCACCATGGTCATTGTTGCTAAGTTTAATTTCGCACTTTGAGTTTGCTAAATTACCTCCTTACGAAAAAGGTCTATCGCATGATCGCATGATTTGGTCAAGCAGTAGATTAGTTGAATTCATGGTATTTATATATATTTTATGTGTGTATGTGTGTGTATACAGACATATACGTATGCAAATGTAAACATCTCTTTATACGCCTACATACATATACGCGCACATAGATTCGCTTAAAAGCATATGCTTTACATCATTTCTTAAATAAATTATAATTACTCCTATAAGTAGCTTTTATGTGTGTGTATCATACGCAGCAGAGACCTTCTTATCTGACCATTTGGAATGAGTATTTGGTGGGTCTGTTGAAAAAGTTGATTAAAGTATACAGCTTTGTCATTTTACTTTTGCCTAAATCATATAAAGAAACATTCAAGTATCAAATTTTCTGTATAAGACACAGAGACCTTTGCTTTCAACTTTAATGTCCTAACTGTCAATCCATTCATCTTTCTGGCACAAACTGCACTAATAATGTATCATAGATGGTATCCACTGTTCATTTCTTGATTTTTAAAGGAAAAGAATTAAAGATATTTGTGTTGTAGCCTGAGAGCAAAATCATCCTAGATTTTTATGATTTTCACATAATTAAATAATAATAATCATTTCCCATGTTTTCCCAGTATTTCTAATACCACCTGTCTACAACTTATTTGACAACTCTTCTTTTAGTGGGATACCTTTATTGGTTCTTCTGATGGAAACTATTTTTCGTATATGTCATTCAATTTCGTAATATTTTATTATCTTACATAATTCCAGTTACCACTATAATAGACATCACCTTGTTTGGGAAGTACTACTGTGGATCATGATAAGAACTCAGTTGAATCTATTAAATATGAGTGTGCAGAATGTTGTAAAAGGCAGTTACTTTGTTCCAAAGAGGATTCAGAAAGCTTCCACCGTGTATACCCGCACCCAGGTTTCTGTTAAAACATTTTTATTATTGTATTATGTATTATATTATGAATAATTTTATCTTCTTGTAAAAATGTCAAAAATATAAACTAGTAGAAAAGTTATTTGTAATTCTAAGATGTACAGTTATCCATGGTATTTTTTCCCTATGGATAATTTTATACATTATATTTATACCATAGTCATTTTGTATATATAATTTTGCATCCTGACTTTTCAGTTAGCATTTTAATAGGAAATTTTCATATCTTCACCGGCCTTTTACTCTCAGGCTTTTAATGTGTTGTATGACATTAGTTTTAGTGAGTACGTCAGAATTTGTTTCATCATACTCCTATTATAAATTTTGGTTGTTTTAAAGTGTCACTGTTTTGAAATAGCACTGCATTAGAAATGTTTGCTCCGAATTTATTTTTTTTTTTACTGAAGTATAGTTGACATGTAATGTCATACTAGTTTCGGGTATATAACATAGTAATTCAACACTTCTATATATTATGCAGTGCTCACCGGGATAAGTGTAGTTACTGTTTGTGAACATCTAAGTTTATTGCAATATTATTGATTAGTTCCCTATGCTGTACTTTTCACCCCCATGACATATCTATAACTGGAAGTTTGTACCTCTTAATCCCCTTCACCTATTTTGCCCATCCCCGCCCCCCCCTTCCCTCCCCTCTGGTGACCACCAGTTTGTTCTCTGTATTTGTGAATCTGTTTCTGGCTTTTGTTTGTTCGTTTTTTGTTTTGTTTTGTTTTTTTAGATTCCACATATAAGTGAAATCGTACGGGATTTGTCTTTCTCTGTCTGACTTATTTCGCTTAGCGTAAGACACTCTAGATCCATCCATGCTTTCAGAAATGGCAAGATTGTATCCTTTTTTATAGCTGAGTAATATTCCATTTCATCTGTATACTATATCTTCTTTATTCATCTATTGCTTTTATATCTTGGCTACTATAAATAATGCTGTAATAAATGTAGGGATGCATATATCTTTTCTAATTAGTGTTTTCATTTTTGTTGAGTAAATACCCAACCGTGGAATTACTGGGTTAGATCGTATTTCTATTTTTAATTTTTTGAGAAACCCCCATATCATTTTCTATAGTGGCTGCACCAACTTACATTCCCACCAGAAGTTACGAGGGTTCCTTTCTTTCAGCATTCTTACCAACTCTTGTTATTTCTTGTCTTTTGATACGAGTCGTTCTGACAGGTGTAAGGTGATATCTCACCATGGTTTTAATGTTCATTTTCCTGATGATTTAGTGATGTTATGCGTCTTTTCATGTGTCCATTGGCCATCTGTATGTCTTCTTTGGTAAAATGTCTGTTCAGGTCTTCTGCCCATTTTAATTGGATTATTTGTGGGTTTTGTTGGTTCTGTTCATAAATTTAATCTTATTGTCTCAAAACAAATTCTTAGTACTTTTTAATAATGAATATAAAGATATAATATCTTAGGGCCTTCTTGTATAGATTGCCACACTGCTTTCCAAAAGAAGTGCTTTCATTTATCGCCCTATGGATATCCTTCCATGGATATACTTGCTTTATTACATCCTTCCTGGCATTGGGTATCTTTTTTTTTTAAATTTTTTAAATGTTTATTTATTTTTGAGACAGAGAGAGACAGAGCATGAACAGGGGAGGGTCAGAGAGAGAGGGAGGCACAGAATCCAAAGCAGGCTCCAGGCTCTGAGCTGTCAGTGCAGAGCCCGAGGCGGGGCTCGAACTCATGGACTGTGAGATCATGACCTGAGCTGAAGTCGGAGGCTTAACCGACTGAGCCACCCAGGTGCCCCTAGGTATCTTTGTTTTCGAAGTGTTTTGCTCGCATGTATATATGAGAATATCACTTTAATTGCATTCCTTCTATTAGTGAGATTATGGTGTTACAAAAAAAAAAGCACTTCTTTTTTCTTCTTGCAAAAGTTTTAGCATTTTTCTTCTTGAGAGGAACTTAACTTTAAATAATTTAATTATCATTTTGAAAGTTTAGTAGCCCACGCTATTGAGAGAAAAGTAGCAGTTTATAGAAGATACATTTTTTTTTTTTTTACATATTTAGAATCCTTAAAAATATACACAGTGGATTTATTTCTGTCAGTGAATCAGAATTTGTCTGACTGGTTTAAATCCTTTCTTCTTGGTGCTTTGAAAGATTATTGGGTACAATGAAAATCAGTTTACCAACATTTTTAATACCTGCTCTGTGCTTGCAATATGATAGGTCTTAGTGGATGTACAGCAAATATAAAGCCTAGAGACTGATCCATACAAAGCATGAAGCATTGTACTTGGCCTGCTCAATAGTCTTGTGTTTAAGATGTGAGCTTATCCTTCGGATTTTGTGTCTCCCTCTGTCTGCCCCTCCCCCGCTCATGCTCTGTCTCTGTGTCTCAAAAATAAATAAACATTAAAAAAAAAAAGATATGGGCTTATAGTCTGTTGGGGAAATAACACACATGGGACAAGTAGCATGAAGGCGAAATATTTATTACCTCTCATGTTTTGTCGTCTTCTAAGAAAGGTGGGCCCAGGGGGTGGTTTTTAGTTTCTTGAGCATGGTAGTTTTAAGTGTAAAGATAAATTAGAGAAAGTGAGGTGGGGTCAAGTTGCATTACATACTAGAAAGAACTTACAGCTCCAGGAAAACAAGGGACTGAGGAGAAACTTGGAGCAGGCAGAAGGAGGTTAGGAAGAGAAGTTTGGAACTTGACTGGAGAAGGATGTGAGGAAGTTTTTTTTTTGGATAGAGATATTGTGGGTTTGAAACGCTCTGCCGTATGCGATGGTTATGATCTCCATCTCCTGAAACAATCTCTAGTAAAACTTCTTGCATAGTAGTGTTT